TCAGTCACAATAATATTACGACACTAGAACTTTTGTTGTTTGTTCTGTTATATTACTCTTAAACACAAATACTGCAACATTGATTTTCAAAATAAATAATTGCATTCCAGTGACATTATAGCATATTAATACCTAATCAAACATATGAAAACTTTAATCCAGATCCTTGAAACTTTTCTTCTATGGTATGATTGAGTTTATCACTCATCTTTGTAGTAAAATAATTCTTCCAATCTCCAATTTCTCCTTTACGAAAGAACAAATTATATTCCTCTCCAGTTGAAAACTTTCCATTTGTATTCACTTCCAAATTTCTCAAATTCTCAAAACTACACATTTTTAATATCTCATCCACCACTCCAGAATTTTCTTCCTCCGGGGAAATAAGACATTCCAAGAATTCAGCCAAGCGTTTAAGCTGAACTTTTGGTTTCTTTTTAATTTCTTCATACATTAAAAAAAGTATTTTGGTAGGATTTTCTATGCTTTTTTCCCAATAATCTAACACGTGATTCCAAAATGGACCATAAAGGCTCACCCCCTCACAGAAAAGATCAAACATTTCTTCAATAGAATTGGTATCGTTGTGATGAAGTAGTAAATTGTTTGTGAAATGCCACATAGAAATAAAAGTGTCCCTAGGATTTCTACATAAGTAGACAAGTTTGGTTTTTGAATGCTGGACTGATTTTGGCAATGAAGCAAAGGGCACATGAGTTGCCAAGAGTTTAGGTGAAGTGAAGGTTGAAAAATCAGGGACTCGACCATCAATATAGAGTTCATGCTCCAAGAATGGAACAAGAACATGAGGGTTAATGACAAGTAAAGGGTGATTAGGTTCAAAAATAGGATGTTTCACTCGATTCACCAGAGCAAATAAAAGTGATTTTAACCAAGTAGTTCCTGATTTTGGAGTTGTAACAAGAATGATATCACTATCTTCGGCTTGAAATTGTTGTTGAAATGCAATCACACCTTGAAGAAATCTTGGTGGTGTCCAAAAACCTTGATAATTGTAGATATACGATCCAACCCATCCTTTATCTTTTGGCAAGATGGAGAGAAATTTCTTACATTCTTCACTTAGATTATCCTCCTGTAAATATTTGGGAGAAGAAGTTGTCATGATTTGAGAGGATTGAGTGTTTTCTTAAAGTTTGAGGCTTTTATAATAGATACGCATGAATAATACACTTACTATCCATGTGAATGTGTAGTCATACTCATACATTTCATGTGACCTCACTACTTCACATATTTTTTGTCTTACTATTAGTAATAGTTATACTTTGATTCACTGATTTGATTTGTCAAGAGAATGCTATTAATGTGAGTGTAAGAATAGTTAGCGAGGCACTCAAAATTCATGCAGTGTTTTGTCATCTTTTTCAAGTAATGATTTTAATTTCAAGAAGAATTTTTTGGTGTTTATTAAATCACTAATCTTTTTAACTTATGACCATAAAAATCTAATTTAAACATAAAAAATTAATTTAACTATATACCTCCTCCAATGCTTTTAATTATCCCTGATAAAGGTTGCACTCTTTTTAAGAGAACATAAATAACGTGAATATTTTTCTATAGTATCCGTATTAAGTAATACACAGTTTTAATGGACTTGTTAGTGATTTGTGAAAACAAATAGTCAATGTTAAGTATAATTTTCTTTTACAAAAAATGTGTTTCTCTTAATAAGTTAAAGTAATCAAATTATCACACCTCAGACCTTAGAGGTGACCAGACCTCGAAAATTATTAATGACTCCCAAGTAAAATAACCTTAGCCTGACTGTCTTCTTAGAGGATGACCTATTCAATATTGACAAGTTTAAAACACTAAAGATAAACTTTAAGTTAAATGTTGAGTCTCAACTATTTTAAAATTATAAACACACACACACACATACACACACAATATATATATATATATATATATATATATATATATATATATATATATACACACATATATATATATATATATATACACACATACACAAAATTAAACATGATAGAATATGTGCCTTCACTTAACAAGTAATGGACAAGGTCCCTTACTACACTAATGAATAAAACCAGAAAGTTAAATGCAGTAAAATCAACACGATGATTTTACGTGGAAACCTCCTTACTTAAGGGAGTAAAACTACGACCCGTCTCACAGGATTTTCAATCTTTTTCACTAATCTTCAAAAGCAAAAGTAAGACACGATTACAAAAAATGTGAAAAGAAGTTTTAATCTCACGTTTAAGCAATAGTCTCTATTGCTTAACAAGCCTAAGTAGAAAACAATCTACCTACTAAGCTATCCCACTTGGACAACCTAGACTTTTAACACTACCCACTAATTCCTTTATAGATTCAGGAATAGTTTCCAGTTTAAGAACAAGAGAATGTATTCCTAAACAACTACACGAAAAGCTCAA